TTCCTTTGTTGCATTTTAAGCCTAGGACTACTTCTGTTTATCAAAGGTATGAAGATACTACCTTTCTTTCTTTGCAGTAGCCTTGTATTTTTGAAGTACTTAATAACTGCAAGTGCTGCTACAGGGACTGCAGTTGGATAGGGTTTTTTCTTGCTTTATAGACTTAGCTTTCCCTTTCTTTTCTCTGTCTTTGCATTATAGTTGGTTCCAAGGTTTTTTGGAATGCCTTGAGCGCTCCAAAAACCCAACGTTAATACCTCACTGCTGTTCTTGCAGAACTGATTACACTGGCTCAGTAACGGACAAAACTCAAACCAAGTAGTATGGTGTTGTTAGGAAAAGATAGAGAGCAAAGCAAAGGAATTTTATACCGCTGTATAAATCAGTGGAATTGGAATGGGGAATGACTAAGTGGTCAAGGACTTGTCAGCCTGAAAAAGAGAACTGAAGGTACCACCAGGATATGTAAAATCTTGAATGACCTGGGAAAAGACAGGTAGGGAACAGGGACTCGCTGCCTCTCAAGACCAAGGGAGCCCAAATAACAGTTTTGAGTGGCAGTGACCTAGTGTGACTGGGTCCTATGTACTAGGTTGTCCTTCCTGCTTTGCATCTGATTTGTTTCAGGCCATTTTTGCAGTTGTTTGAGATCAATTTAACTTTTGGCTTGATCTCTAGTATTAAAGATTTTCGTCTTGCAGCCATCCATTTGTGGCTCGTTCATTCGATGATTTAGGAAAAGAAGTATGTTGGTTGTCGGATGGGGTTAATCCTTATTAATGCAGTTTCTTAAGTTTTTCAGCTGCTTGAGGAATCTTTGAGCTGCTTGGATTTTTGACAGAGGATTAGTGTCAGTGAGAAATGTGAAATCGGGACATCACAAGCTTCCTCGCTCCCCATACTATCAAACCGTGTGGCTCCCCAGAGAAAGGACGGAACATACTTGGAGGTTTCCCTAGGGAAGAAATTCATTTAGGTTTTTCTCTGTGCTTTTGTAAGTGCCTGTATCAGAGGAGCTAATTATTTGATGCTCGAATACTTTGAGGTTGTATTTCAGCCTGTTATTAATAAAACTGTTGGATTTTATGTTTTCTGTCTACCCGTGGATGCTTTTGAGCAGAGGCAAGCAGAAGTACGGATAGTGGTCATGCAAGAACAAATAAGTCTTCTCTTTTGTGTATGAAAAAGAAATCTCTCTTTGGAAGTTATCCATGCCCTTTTGCAAGTGTAACGCACAGGTTCTATTCAGCCTTCAGTTCTAGCACAGTTTTCTTTTGTTTCTTTTTTCTCTTCAGCTTCTTTTTTTTTTTTTATTTTCTGATTTTCCCTCACTAAAAAAGCAACAGAGGGCAGGACTGTTTGAAATAAAAAAAATGGAAACAGTGGGACTGCTGATGCTGTGTGGAAATGTTTGAGGCATAAGCCTGCAACAGAGCTTGGTGGCTGCCCGTCTGCCTTTTCCTCCTAGTGCCCTGGTTTTTAGAAACATGGTGTCATCTGCACCTCTCCTCTTTCAGGGACTTGGCGGTGTCTCTTCCTTCATTCCCAAGACTACTGTCAATTGCTTTATTCTACTATCTCTCTGGTCTAGCTAATTCCCTTCTATGCGTTTATGTCTTTATATTATTTGCCTTGAAATCATTAGATAGGAATAAGGAGCAGATTCTGCTCCAATTTGAACATGAAATTGTTCAAAAATACTTTGATAGAGTTGGTTCTCATCCAGGAGGTGCCTAAAAGTTAGCCCTATAGATGTTGGATGGCTAAACCAGCACGGCTCCATATGGCACACGCGTGAATAGATCTGGGGTCAAGGTGCAGACTGGATAAAGCTCTCAAAGTACGTGTGTGTCTGTAAGCTGGAGCAGGACTGCCTCAGCCCATACAGTGCAAATTGTTTTTATGCCTCTAGGGTTTGATTTTAGCTGATGATGGATTGTCGCCACATGTAGACTTGCAGCATAGATTTAGGCAGACTAGATCAGCCTTCTAAGTAGAAATGTTTTGGGGTCGCAGCTCTCCTTACTTGTCAAGGAGAAAATAACTGGAGATGTGATTCTTGCAAAGGCAAGAATCCCCTAGACAGGTATCTATATCACACTTTCTTGTGTATATAGATTGCTGTTTAAGAATAGTTTCATGGCAGTACACTTCCTTTTGCTGTATGCAATGACAAATTGTATTTGGGATTTTTACTAATCTCCGTGTAAGGAATGAAAACTTCAGAGCTGGGGAAAGTTTGAACTGTGCTTTGTAATTATCATTTCCGGCACTTAATTTATTTGGATGTCACTGGCTGTGTTATTGAGTAGATAACTTAAACTAGTGTTTTGTATATACTTGGCATTTCTGTCCAGAAGTGTGCAGGTCATAAAAGTGTGCAACAAACACTCAAATTTCTTATCTTTTCAGGACTACCATGTGCTATGAAATTGCATTGTGTCTGTTATGGAATTTGTGGTGGGGTAGAAGGCAAATGTTTAAAATGTAAGTTTAAGCCTCTGGCTTTTGAAAAATTGAAGCTCTGGATTTATGTGCTTTTTGCTTGTAGAGCACAATTTCCAAAGTTAAGGTTGTTGGTGCAATAAACCTGCCTTTTAGATATCAGTGATGGATGATTCAGGTAAAATGCAGCTACCCATGCACGAGCTGTTCAGTAGATACAACAGTTAACATCCTTCAGAAACTTTTTTTTTTTCCTGTTTGACAAACTCCCACACATTCCTTGGAATGTATTTTAGGTGCTCTGCAGAGAGTGTTCCCATGGACTGTTTGAGGCATATCCTGATATTTCCTGAAGAGTCCTAGGATACGCCAGGCGCACTGCGGAGCCGAGACAGAACAGCCATGCTCCTGGAGAGCTTTGGCAGACACCATTTCCCTGTCACCGCTGGACATCACTTCTGGCCTGCTCTGATTTATTGAGGTGGCAAAGTGCTTTTCATAGATCATGAGCTTGTAACATTCATGATCTCTTAATATTTCCAAAATGGAACTGCCTTTGAGATTTATGGGAGCTAAATATCCTTTCGTTCTCCCTCTTTTTCCCCATATGGATATAATATTTCCCCCCAAAACTGTTCCTCCCTGCTGCTTAAATAAAATAAAAATGTAAATTTCCCTGGCTCTGTTTACAATAGCGTTAAATATTACTGAACGATAGCAGGTGGCCTAAGGCCACTGTTCCAAACTAGAAAATTCTTCAGTTTACTTGTGGCAAAGCCAATAATGAGACTGGTAATGGCTTCACCCTTCTCTTTGGGCACCACTTTGGCCTCCCCCTACAGAACATAGACTGGAAAGGCATCAGATTGGCCCTGCTCATGTTTCGGATGCTTTTTGGGACTCCTCTTGGGGAGCATCTGACCTCTCTCCTGGCTTTACCAGGCACCTTCTAAGAAGGAATCATCATTAGAAAGAGCATTCCCTACTGCATACCAGACTACCGTAAACTATCTCTTCCTGTGTCTCTTCCTGTCAGTTAATGTTTTCTACAAATAAATAACTGCCTTTTGAGTGAGCCTGACCTTACAGCCTGCGTCTTCGTTTTTGCAGTGTTCTTGAGTAGTTCTTACTGAAGTAAATAGGTTCTTAATTTTCTCTCTCCTTTGTTCCTCTCTACTATCTTTTAGCATCTCTGTAGGGAATGCAGCTCTTGACTTTCAAGACGACATTAAAGTCTGCTCACGTGTGCATTTTCTGAAGGACAAGAGTTATCCTGCAAACTGTGCATCACAGCAGTAACCAGAGTAGTTGCAGTAATCTTTCACTTGAAGTTATATAAACTCCTTCGTGTCCTCAGTCCTCCTGTGCGCTCTAGAAAAACATTCCTTTCTTTCTAGATCAGCCATGTAATCTGTGCAGCCTGCTTTTATGGTAATAGATTATCCTATTAAAGGTTGCATGAGTGGATGTGAAGCCATATGCATGGGTGAGTTTGAGTCATTCCTCTCTCAGGTTGTTAAACACTCAGTCTCTCTCTTCCCCCTTCTGCAACCTCTCATTTACAGGGCATCTGCGATCGTACTGTATTTTGAGCCATTTGCAGTTCAGAATTTGTCGCATCATTTCTTTGCTATGCCACTATCTGAAACTCTTCCTGTATATATGGCTGTGGCATAGTGCCGACCAATCTATCCAAAATAAGGTTGTTCAAGTACAAGCAGCTGTATAATTACATGGAATTGCCTGTTGACTGTAAGACCGGTGTGAAGAGAGGATTAAATCTGTGCTTTAAGTTTAGCCCAATACCACTACCTAATTTAGCGGTCTTGAGTCGAGATCAGATCGGGGATATGTTGTGCTTGTGATAGGGCTGTCGAGTCGATGCACTTTCTGATTGTGAACATGCAGTAACATGTTCTGAGGCGACTCTGAACATGCTTTTCTACAGCGTGGCTTGATGCTGCCTCCTAATCTCTTGTTCTGTTTCCTTTCTTGCATTTGTTACGATAGCTGCTGCACGTGTGCATATGAATGAGGTAGGAGCAGCCAAGTGCAGGTAACTCCTGCATTTGTCCACTGCATTCGCACCTGCACAGTACATTGAACAGTGGGCATGTATATAACCAACAGTGTAAGGACTACCCTGGAGCCGTTCCTCACACCCTTCCACGTGTTGGCATGGACAGCATATAAATTGGTTGATTACTTTTGGTATCAAAGTAAAACTGTCTAAACTCTTATTTTAATTGTCAACATACTGTAGATAATTTAAAAGCCAAACTATAGTTAGGAAGTTTGTATGTCATTCTATATCATTGAGAAAAATTGATCACCATAATGGTGATTTGAGCGTCTTGGGTGTCCTCATGTCACAGAACATATTGATGAGTTCATTCCACTATAGGCATTTTTCGGTAAGAGTAAAATCTCCACACTGTTCTACTCCCATGGAGGAAGTAGAATCAGCACTTATGTATGGGGATCATCAACGATCCTATGGGAATTTATTCCTCCGAGTTTAAGAGTTAATTTCTCTCTTGTTTTGGTTTTCTCAGGTTCTCCAAGCCGGCACCAATGTTCTTGGATGATTCCTTCAGGAAATGGGCACGTATCAGGGACTTTGTACCTCCCTTTGGAATTAAAGGACAAGGTATGAGAAAATGATACAGCTTTTGAAAAAGAAGGTGGTTCTTGCAGTTGTTTGCCCTGCCATCTTTTGTTTTGTTTTGAATGCCCAGTTGATCTTTTAGGCTGTGTTTTTTAGCACTGTACAAGATGTCCTGAGAAACCAGGGTTTCCACAGGTGAAGGGTGGAGCTTAGGCTGGCCTTTTGGTTTAGTCTGTGGGACATTGTGGTTTGACTTTTGAGTGAGGTCAGAGAGGTGGTAGAGTCTCCTTTGTTGTAGATCTTCAATACCTACCTGCATGTGACCCTGTGCCACGTGCTCTAGGTGTCCCTGCTTGAGCAGCAGTTGATCTACGTGATCTCTAGGAGTCCTTTCCTCAACCATTTTGTGGTTCTGTGACAGCACTGTGTTCTGGAAGGAGTATTTTGATATCAATGACTACTTTAGCTGTAGGTCCCGGCTGACAGATCCTGGCTGATTTAAAGTGCTTATTTGTCAGTATTTTTTTGATGAACAGGTATCAGTGTTTTTTTCTAAAGCTTTGGAACACCTGGGTTGACCGTTGGTGCAAATTTTCACTTTCCTCTGGTAGCATTTGGTTGTATTATTGCTTTATAGTCTGCTGCTTGTCGACTTATGTGACAAATAGGAAGAATCTCTTGCTTTGGTGATGACCTGCTACGATGCCCAGCCCTGCAGCTGGAGCGCGGTGGCAGAGGCTGCACCTCAGCCCCGCTGCAGCAGGGCAGGAGAGAAGCAGATGGTATCTCCATGGGGGAGACAGGCTGCTCACCTTCCTGCACCTCTGGGTGAGAGTGCTGGGGCAGAAAGGTTATACTCACTGCAGCGACTAGCTGCTGACTTCCAGAAGTCCCATTTATTTTCAAGAGCACAGATGGATCCTCTTGGAGTTAAAATACCTGCTGGAGATGGGGCTGCACCCCCATAAGCTTGGGTCTGACTGTCTCTCCCTCTCTTGCCCTGGAAGCAGATGTGGCAGTTGTCAGAACAATCTCTGATTAAAACAAAGACTTTACTGACAAATTTCTTCTGGCTTGCATTAATCCACTACTTTTCTTTGTATGTGTCCTTGCCTTGTCCTGTCAGTCTCTCGCAGCTCATTAAGCACCTAATTACTAACCTCTAAATCAACCAGCAGAGTTATCAGCAGAAACCATAAAATTTAACACAATGGCAACACAAATGGCAGTGCTATTTTGGGCACAGGAGGGCATGGTGGCTTCCAATAGGCTCACAAGGTGTACGAGGCCAGGGCAGGCTGTCTGACCAGGGTGGAGGTAGGATTTGCAGGTCACACATGAGGTCACCTAGACCTAATAAAAATCATTCCATTAAATGGAATCCAAATGGACAAATTCACCAAAAGGGGATGACGGAATGGCTCTGGCAGCCTTCTTCCCAAGTTCGTTGCCAGCTTGTATCACCACTGCAATGTTATGTAAATCTGGTGCTTTATATTGGATTTCCTCAGTTAAAGAGAGAAATAAGAAATTGCCATTATTTAAATTGCTGAGAGCTGAAGCCATGGGACGGAAACAGTTGAATGGTGTTCTTTTTTTTTTTTTTTTAATGCCCTCCTGGGACTAAATTTTGTGCCAAGTTTCAGTCTGGAGCAATTTCTGTGTGTGGGAGGGTTGAATTATAAATTGCTCCAACGCAGGATTTCTAATGGCTGTGCTGACAGGCTGTGAGTCCTAGCGCTGCGAATGGCGCCCTTTCATGTTACACATCACTTGGAATTCGTGCATCAGTCTCCTCTGCGCGACCCGCGGGACACGTTCGGGCTGAGCTGAGTGATTTGATGATGGGATCAGCACCTCATTAGGGCTTTCACTCAGGGCAATCTAATGATATCCAAACAACTGACCAAGGCAGGCAGTGTGGCGAGATGTCACGCACTTGTGCAAGATGAAGGCTATCAGAGTTGGGATGTGCATGGGAAAAGGAGAACGAGCAGTTGGGATGGTTGACAAAGTGCAGAGAGACGTGCTGTGTTGGAATAAATCGGTCAGGAGTTTTGCACTGTGCATTAGAAAGCCCTGTCACACTAACAGCTGGGATTTCCTACAGGATTCATGCCATGGAAGGTGTTTGGTGTTACAGATACCAGCTCTAACGGGGTTGGTGACTGGAAGATTTTGCTGAGGAATTTGAATATCACCTAACCTTTCCAAGTTACTGTGAGCTCGACCACCTGCAAAAGGACATTTTTGTGAAATACCATTACAAGATGGCCTCACTTATTCACTCATTTAGTAACGCTGTGTATTTCAAGAAACTTCTAGAAACTTCTTCCAGATAGCTTGAAGTCAAGATATTTCTAATAGCTTGGAGGATACTTCTCCATTTCTGCTTTCTACTATTAAATCTTTCCTCTGTTTTTCAGGCTTTTAGCTGAAATGTTTTTAAGTTCATACTCGTAGCTCTTTTTCCTTGCTTTATCTCTGGAAAGGAAAAGCTGAGAGAGGCCTTTTTCATCTGTCACTTGATGTTACTGTGCCAACAAGGAACAATTTCAGTCTTGCAGCCTTTCAAAGAAAGGAGCTTCTGAGAAGTGTGGTTTACAGAGCTGCACTGATTTGGAGTAAAATGTCTATATATATCACATGTACAACAGTAGAAATGGCTCAGAAATTTTCAGGACTGCTGCTCTTTAAAGACAGACGTATCGAAAAGAAGGCATTATGCTGATCATCTGAACACAGTTCAGCGGATACCTTTATTTTCTTGCCCCCAAAATGTGATTGTAAAGACAGTTCTTCAATCTCCAGATGTTAAAATGAGTGCAGTATAACACAGGAGACTCAGCATTGAGCATTTCTTCTTGAAAGAACACTCCTTTTTTCCCCATTAATTTCCTCATTTGTCCCCTATTTAATTTATTAGGATATAGGCAAAGTGAGGCGAATCCTTGAGGCGCACAATGGAATTAGCCAACTTTGAGTTGCGGGGAAGATCAAACCATGACGAGTTGTCGCAGCTCCAAATGCCAAGATGTCCTGTGGGAGGCAACCCAACCCGCTGGCCGTGTCCCTCGCTGTGGTTTCAGTGCTCTTCGCTGTGTTTCTTTCCCAGCACCAGCCAGGCTCGCTCTGGCAGCCTTTTCTGTGCGGAACAAGGAGGCCACAGCAATGCCAACCTGCTTAGCTAGTTGTACGGCGAGGTTTTCTGTTTAAATTGAAATTTCTTCTTTTGTATTCACATCCCTTTCTAGTAACTGCTTCCATCAATGGAGCTTATTGGAGGGATGAATAAGCATATGTTGTCCATATTCTTCCAGAGATTCTCTAGCATGCTTTCAATATTAAATTTGTTAAAGAATAAGCAATAGAAACATTGTTTATTGTGTTGGTTAGATTATTAATCACAGAAGGCCTTCTCCCTAGATTTCCTTTTGTAGCTAAAGCAAAAGAAAGAGGTTTTCAGAAATAAGCAGCAAACAAAAGTGATTGTTAATAGGATTTTTCCCTAGATACGGCTTAAAGCATATAAGAGGCTTTCATGAGGAAGAGTAGCTGATATCTGGCATCCTCTCTGTGCAATGGGAATGGGAGAGTTGCTGTAGTGACTGTGAATTTAAGCAAAAACACATGGCATAGCATACACTTAAATTCAACAAACATGATCCTTTTTTGTAGTATCTCCTCTGTGCATTTAGTCAGTAACTGCTGAGCACTAAGAATAGGTCTGCACTTCTACCTTTGTTCCAGCTAGATCACTTTCAGGCAGAGAGGCTCCTTTTTGGCTCTAAATCAGTTTGCATTTGGAAAGGATATTTATTTCTTAGGGAGTGACTGTCTTGTCACTATCCAGAATTTTCATCCCATCAAGGATTCAAAAGGAGATTTTCCCCACTGTACTGAAGAATATTAAGAACGTTTTGAAGTCCTACAGTTTTAGCAGATGCTGTACGTAGTGCCGGCCAGGAGACTTCCTGATGCAAGAGGAACATCTGAAATTAGTGACAAATTATACAAAGATAATTAACGGACTGGAACATCTATTTTATGAGGAAAGACTAAGTGAGCTGGAAAAGAGAAGATTGAGAGGGAATGTTATCAACATGTACAAATACCTGAGGAGAGGATTTAAAGAGAATGGCACCAAATTCTCCTCAGTGATGGCTGGTGATAAGACAAGGGATAATACAGATTAAAACACAGGAAGTTTAATCTCTGTATGAGTAAGAACTTCCTCACTGTGAGGGTGACAGAGCGCTGGAACAGGCTGCCCAGAGAGGTTGTGGATTCTCCTTCCTTGGAGATATTTGAAAGCCGCCTGGGTGCGACCCTGTGCCATGGGCTTTAGGTGTCCCTGCTTGAGGTGATGGCCTCTAGAGGTCCCTTCCAGCCCCAACCATTCTGTGTGATTCTGTGGCACAGAAATGAAGCCTGCCCAGAGCACCAACCCTAGTAGACGCATTGTGCAATGGTTGATTGTTCTCATACTGGGTTTTATGTGGTTGTTTTCCTTTGTGTGAGTGCTTCTGGGAAGAGCTGTAGTTCAGTGCTGCTTAGCTGTGCTTTCATTAGTCTCTTGGGACAGAGGTCATTCACCTTCAGTGAAAATGTAGAATTTTCAGGCGTGCAAATGTTGGCACGTCAAATTGCTATCAGGAGAAAATCTCTCTTCTTTTCCTTCATGTTCTGTTCTTGCATAGTTTTCTTTCTTCCCCATCAACTTTCTTGGCCTAAGCAGTATTTTATCTTTGAGAAAACATATTTGTTTGGACATCACACTTGAAATTTACAACTGGCCCAAATTAAAACTATCAGAAAAGTAGGTCTTTCCCAACCTACTCTTGGAGCTTTTTATAGAGGCTGTAGTACTATGTGCAAACGCCTTCCCCCTCTTTTGACTGGTTTTTCTGGGGTTATCTCTTTTCTGCTTGAGTTCTCCAACTTTGTCATTATTTTGATGGCTTCTCTCTGTGTGGCTGGTTTTCCTGTTGTGAAACCTTCTTTTTGTTCTTCATACTTTTGTCCTTAATTAAAAAGCAAAAAGCGCACATATGCC